TGTGCCCTGCCTGCTCCACCACCAAGGGCTGTGCTGCAGCAGCAGGGAGTGGATGGAGGAGGTGGAGGCTGGACTTGATTGCACCCAGATGGTTGTGCGGGGGCAGCCGCCGAGGCTGGTGCTGCCGAGCCTGCACCGAGCGTGAGGCTGGTGTGCAGGGCACTCTGCACTTGGTAAGAAAAGGCTTGGCACAGCGGTGGAGAGCCCCCTGCAAAATCCCCATGGGTTCTCCTGAAGCAGAATCCCCCCCAGTCTCACCCCCCCAAAAAGGCTCTGGGAGGATGGGAGGTTTGCACCTGGGACCTGCACAACCCTTCGCTCCTCTCCCCACCCCTGCCCCTGCCCTAAGGAGCCCTGCCTATCTCTCTGCATCTGATGACCCATCTCGCTGCCCTGATGACCACGTTCTGCTATTTGCAGTTTCCAGTTTGCCTTCTTGTGGCTAACCAGGGCAGCAGGGGCTCCCTCAGCCGCCCCAGCACAGCCAGCCGCCCCCCACGCAGAGCAAACCCACAGCAAGCAGGAGCTGCCTGCTGTTTCCAGCTGAACCTCTAATGCCTCCCAAGGGCAACAATCCCCCAAACCCAACTTTAGGCACTTCCTGTGTAAATCCGAGTGGCCAAAACAACTTTTTTCCGCCTTTTAGTGTCCTCCTCCACCAACCTCATGTCCTGTCCACAACACTCCTGGCTCTGCTTCCACAGGCAGCTGCTGACACGTTTCTGTAGGTCTATATGAACAGCCTGTGTAGACAAGCGTCTAAACGGGAGAGGAGGAAAACCCCTGCCCACCAGGTCGCTGGCAGGATGGGGGTGGAAGTGCCAAGGCACAGACAGGAGCTCAGCCCCGCAGCAGAGTTGCTTGGCATGGCTCTGCACTGCGTGATGTAAGGAGCTAAGTTTGGACAGGAGAAGTCCCACACTGGGTGAACCTCACGGACGATTTTAGCTAGTAAGTGGAGGTTGTGTTCTCAGCTGAAAGCCCTGAAGCATGTGGGTGAGAGCAGCAGCACGCGAGCGGGCAGGGCTGCGCTCAGAGCTCAGGTATCTCCTCTGGCATTCACTACACTGCGGGTGGCAGAGCCTGGATCCAGCCTGCGCTGCTCGTGGAGGGATGGTGCCACACGTCTCCCAGTCTCCTACCTAATTTTGTTTTCTCAGTCATAAAAATTATGGCCAGGTGCCAAGTTTCAGGTGGGGGCAGGGGGGGAAGAAAAAGAAGCCCAACACACAGCAATATTCAGGAGCATCCAAGAGGATTTTAGCTGCATGAATTCAAACCAACAGCCTGCCCGTTCAGACAAATGAATGACTCAGCCTGATGAAAACTTAGGTCAGGAATGCAAAGCTGAGACAGAGGCTCCTGCTGCAGCTCTGCTTGGGTAAAGGGTTCAGAGAGCTCCTGCACCCCTGCTGCCTCTCCCTCGAGGTGCACACTGAGGCCAGGCCAGCAGGGCTCAGACTCGTCACTGTCACCTGCCTTGGGAATTTGTCCTTTCCTGCGCATGGCCTGAACTGTGCATGAGCCACCCAAATGCGCAGCCACAGCCACCACCCGGCCCTGGAAGCTGATGCCAGCACCAACTGCCTGTCTTTGCCGGTGAGAAATGAGGAGCATCCTGAGCACCAGTCTGCAGCAGCACTGCAGCGACAGAGCTCTGCACTGGCCCCCTACTCACGCACAGGCAGGAGCAAGCAGAAGCGTGTTTGCTGGGCCATGGGTCATGCATTAGCACCCAGAAGGCTGCTCTGTATCCCCCGGCACCGCGCATCCCCTTGACCACCCGCTCATCTCGACAGCTCTTCAGGGAGAGCCGAGCAGGCAGCATGGGCAAAGCGGTGCAGGGCACTGGCACTGGGGCACAGCCACAGCTTGCAGCGAGCTGCTCCCAGGGTACCTGGGAAAAGGACCTGAGGGACCAAGGACATGTGTGACATCATCAAACTGCCCCTGGGGAGGTCCCAGAAGAGCAGGGCAGGGCAGGACATCTGTTCTCACGCTGGCTGGGTCCCCCCCTACCTATACCAGGCGCTTCCAGGCTCATCCCTCCACTCTGATGCAGAAGCCGTGTTCACTAGAGCATTAAGAAGGCAAAAAGCAGTAACGCCACAAAGACCCCAGCTTCAGCATGGCACACGGAGCCCCCCCTCCCACTCAAATCAGCAGCACCCACCACAGCAGGAGACAATGCAGGGACTGCTGGGGAGCCGCAGGCAGGGAGCGCCAGGGGCTGGCCAGGAGCAATCTGGTTTAAGGCTGCCTTGAGCACATTGCGAGACCTCACCTAGAGCAAACCCACAATGCTGGCAGTGGCACAGGTCTCGGGAGGGCTCTCCAGTGGGTGGCTGCTGCCTGGGGCAGCGCAGGGCTCCGTCTTCCCTTTCTCTCTTCCAGAGAACACAAGGCAGCAGCATGTACGCCTCTACTTCAATATAAGCATCGTGGGGGAATTCAAAGCCAAAAGCAAAACAACTTCTCTAGCACCAGCAGCTCCAAGGCTGATAGCTGCTTTCTTTGACACCTCTAACAGCTTTGGTTAAACCACACAGCACTTGCTTAGCAGCTGGACGTGGCTCCCTCTGCCTAATCAGACTGCTCGCAGTCAAGCTGGCCAACATCCAATGTTATTGTAATCAACAGCTATTTGGGGACCCAGCTCCGGTGCATGCAACACTACCAGGTTCCTTCGGTGGGCAAGTGGCTCATGCTACAAGAATCACTGCAAGTGCCATGGGCCAAGTGGGTCTTGCAGAGCAACATGCTCTGATCATTGGGGAGCACCACCCAGCAGCCCCTATCACACCCGCCATGGCTGAACACAGTCACACCATTTTGCACCAAAACCAGTTGCCTATTCTGCACAAAAAAAAAAAAAAAAATTCCTTTCGAAAGGAGTGTGTCTGGGCTGACTCCCTCCCAGGTATATTCAGGTTTCATCACAGCATCACTACAGCCATCAGCCTCTGCTGGCTCAGAGAAAGAGCTGGCAGATGTGCCTGCGTGCTGGGGACATCTCCCCATTTCCCAGGCTTCCCAGTACGTGGAAACGCTCATGTACTTGGAGAGGAGACACTGAGCCCACAGAGCTGGAGGAAAGAGGCCAGCCGTCTCCCACACCGCTTGCCAGCTGCTGGCTCGTCCGACAAACCATAGACCAGGCCAAGGCTCTTAAAATCACAAACTGAACTGAAACCACTTTTGCTCACTTAAAAATTCAACAGTGTTGGGAGCTGGTGATGGAGATGCACCAAGAGGAGATTAAAGATGCACAGAGAGGGAGGAGAGCCAAGGGGCCATCGGAAGCACCCACCCACTGAAGTCCAGGGGGGAAATGAAGCAGCGCAGCTATTTACAGACATGCCAGCAACTGTCATGTCGTAACTAAACCAACAGCCTGTGCAAAGCTAACCGTCTACCCACAGCTTTAAGAAAAAGGGGGAACATGAATTCCTGTAATTATAGCCCACTGAACTTGGGAGGGAGAAAGGAGTGAGCAATTTTTCAGGAGCCCTGTTTACAGCCCCGATACACCCCTCGGAGGACAAGGACAAGTTGCCAACAGTCACAACACCACTGAGCGATGCTCTCAGAAGTGCCTGTGGTCTGGGGGGCACGTACCCAGCCCCGTGTCAGGCTGGCTCAGGCCACACTGGCTCCCAGGTCTGCCTGGGCACCTCTCTCTGCCGCCGCCCTCGGCATCCCCTGCCCCACCAACACAACAAACCGGGCAGCTCTGACTGATCCCCTTCCCTGCTGGGGGCTCCACCTTGCCAAAAGTGCTCAGAGCGGAGCCTCTGCCCTCTCTCCAGAATCACTAGGACTTTATTGAAATGAATTGCCCTGTTTCACCACACTACACAGCTCACAGGCTTGCACGCACTTTGCTGAATCACAGCACTGGTCTCCAGTAGCAGATCTCATCTGGACTCTTCCTTCCAGCTGGATGAGTAACTAGCTCTGCTACGAGGACAGTGAATAGAAAAAGTCAAATGCTCCAAAGCTCAGACTCTGTGCTTGCACAGATCAGGATCAGGGCAGACAGGTTTTGCCTTGCACACCACAGTCAGGGAAAGCCATGGTAGAGCCGTTACCTGGACCAGGTGGGCACCATACCTTAAAAGAGATTTTCCTTTTTTGTTTCCTCAATGGTAGATAAAGAGAGTTCACAAAAAAGTCTTTTTCAGCATAGAGAGCATAAGATAAGTAATGAGAGTTCAGCACGGCCACTGAAACTGAAGTTACATTGACAGCAGCGGACGCACAGCTCCCTACGTAAGGCACCCTCAGCTCATGTGAAACCACAAGATGCGTTTTCAAAGCAGATCGATGCGCAGAAGTGCTTAAAACCCTCAGGCAGCTTTGAAAATCACCACCGCAGCCTTCCTCCCTGGAAGGGGGAGAGCGGCAAACGAGCGGGACAGACTCCCAGGAGCCACGGCTCAGCCCGAGCCGATTCCACACAGCTGCTCTGCTACCGCTGCCCTCCAGAATCACATTCTCCTGGAATTAAGTTATGGCACACTTTGGAATTAGAGCGGTTTGCAAAAATCACTACAATTCTGCTCTGCAAGAACTCTTCTGACATAATCTTACTGCAGCAAATGGATTTCTTGCAGACCAAGCACACCCCGCACCCAGACAGCACTGCCTCCCCGTGCACAGTTTGTTTTGGAGCATGAGCGGGCGCTGCTGGAAGGCACGGAGAAGCTCCCCGCTCCAGCGCCGCAGCACTGGCAGTGGCAGAGGAAGCCAGCGAAACAAAAAAAAGGGAATTTGGTCACTTTGCCACAGCCTGGATGCCTTTGCTGATGTTGCCAGCAGCAGCGATCGATCCAGAACTTGATTTCATCCAGGAAGGGGGTGCTCATCCCATGGGAAACGGGCTGACACTTCAGCCAGGTGACAGGCACGGCCACGCTGAGCCAGGCCTGCAGGAGGGTAAGATCCTGCACAGCCCACGGGCACAGCAGCTCCCTACTGCCCAGCTCGTCCCCACTCACCGCCATGTATGGTCGGCACCCTGCATCCCGCGTTTTGGCAATGGAGTCCACAAGCTGTCCGCTAATGCCGAAGTCACAGAGTTTAATATTTCCATTTCTGTCCAGAAGAATATTGGAAGGTTTGATGTCTGCAAGGGGAAGAAATCCAAACCCGTAAGTCACAGCTGGAGCTTTCAACTTCAAGAAGAGCAGCTGCAGAGGATCGACCCCGGCAGAGCTGCGCGATTGCCATCGCCCCTTGGCTGGGGCGGGCGGGCAGAGCTGGCAGC